CATACTCTACATAAAAAATGTAATACATTAAAGTACATACCACAAAGCTTTCATTAAAAACACTAGGACTAGATGTTTGAGGCGCTGGCAATGGCGGTATACCAAGTCTGTCTCTTATTACTGCTATGGTCGTATCCACTACGCCTTGAGCAGTACTCATGTAACGCTCCCATATTAATCTACCTTGCCTCCGCATAGTTAAAAGGTCATTATCAGGAACAGCACGCAATAAAAAGTGCATTTCGGTCACTCTAGCCTAAAATTATATTTTTATTAGCTTTGTTTCAATAGCTAGAGAAAAAAACTTAATAATTAATACTATACTTAATAATATTATAAGAAAATATATATAAGAAAATAAGGACCATAAGGTTCAATTATGTATTAGCAGAAGATTAGGAGATTAGGAAGATGAATAATTATCGCAAATTTAAAGACTGGTTTTGATCTATTGACAAAGATATTGGAGGTAAGAGAAGAATTTAGTGAGTCGTTAGGAAGAAACTATCCAAGAGAACAATACAATTGTTATTAAAAATTTACTAGCATGTCTTTATGGCTTGCCTTATTTAAATAAAATACTTGTGGTATAGAATAATCATGGTCATGCAGATTAAGTATCGCAGGTAATAAACAAAGAATTCTGAATTCGAGCTATGATCGGTTCCATTAATTTTTCCGTTTCATATAGTATATTACTATGAATTACCTTGGGTAAAAAAATAACTGCTCTTCTCCAACCGATAACTTCATTATAACTAAGCAAAATCTGATCACCACCCAGAATAACTGGTATTGATCCAGCTCGTAATGCTTCGTATAATCTTGCCTGCATGAATGAAGTAGTTAGTAATGTAGCATTACTAGGAGCTAAGATCAATGCAAAGGTTGATTCCTTTAATATAGCTCTTCTAGACGAGTCAGTTCCACAAAGAGACCAATCGAGAGTTTCCACAGGCTTGCTTTCCACAGAAGCTGGTATACATTCAAACTGAATAAAGAATTTGTCTAGAGTTATTCCACTGCTCATGTCTTTTAAGTGTTGAATAATAAACGCATCAATATTGTTATCATCAATTATTAATTTTTCCAAATCTATATCTGCGTCATCAATTTGGTATGTCATTGGTGTGCCTATAGATGTTTTCATTTCTCCTTGAAACGATAGCAAATATTTTCTTCTTGCAGGTAACATTTGTGCACATTCTTGCCAAACATCTCCACCAGGTGGTCCCAGAATTGGTGGAACAATCAAATCAAAACCATCACGGAATTGATTTCTATAAAACATAGATTGTACTATTATTGCTCTGCTAATATCCAGATTATTGAAAATATTCCCAGAATCTGCAGATAAATCTCTACGTGCGAGATTTAACAATATATGATTTCTACCATCTCCACCCCAATAGGGAAGTGCATGTAACTTCTTAATATCTAAAGGTTTATTATAATGTTGATCGTTTTTTTGTGGATGACTTAATGCTTCACCAATTAAGATTATGTAAACGCAAGCCTCTGCTGGGTTTCTCGTAAGATGTGGATTATATCCTATAATCAATTTTTTATATATAATAATTTATCACAAATGTCATGAAGTAAAAAATAACTTTTATTTTTTAAAGACCTAAAAATATTTTTAAGTTGTTTTATATACCTAACGTCTGTTTGATAGTTGTTTTTAAGAAACCATCTACATCCCATCCTGGATTAACTACTGAGAATTGATCTGGATCATACAAGTATACAGGAAAACCACTTGTCAATGCACATCGACTGTGATCAAAACAATTATACATTCTGCATGATCGTGGATCTGTACTAGGTAATACAACTGGCAAAGTGTTAATCAATATTCTCTTAGGTGGTGCCAATTCAGGTGTATTTCTCTCCACAGCTTCTTTTTGTGCTACTTGTGCTTGTTCCACGCTTATCTTTAATCTATCAAGATCTGTTTGTTGATGCAATAATTCCTGCTTTAGTTCATCTATCTTTTGTGTTAAACTATTGACTTCACCTTGAAGTCTTTGCCTTTTAGCACTCAGATCTCTCAATTCGTTGCTCACTGATATTTTTATACGGAACATTTCCTCTATTCTCATCTTCAGCTGTGATGCTTTCATAGATGTGTAATCTTCGAAAGCCTCCAGAGTTGAAAATGTCCTATACATATCTCTATCCGGAGCACCAGATTCTACCTAAAAATAAACTCAAAGTTAGCACAAAATAGAAAAAAATAATCTTAAAAATTTATATCCATCTTCTTTAAATTATACCTTAGATAAATAATAATGTGTAAATAATGGCACAATAAATAAGACTATAGATGTTAATATTATTATCCGTGACAATCTGATATGTGCCAGCCATTGGCACATCTCCTTTCCATTGGAATGATATGACGGAAGAACCTCATAAGTATTCCCCACCATATTTATAAAGAATTGCTACGTATTACTTCATCTGTCCAAGAAATATTGGATACTTCCATCTAACATCTTCTTAAAATTCTATAAACAATATTACTTCTAAACATTGGAGTAACTCATATTCATTTTTAATGAACTTTAATTTTCATTTTTTAATTTTTTTAATTCAAAATAAAAAAAAGTATATTAAATCAAGATTAAAGTTAGACATAAACATTAATGAATTAGATTTTATTTATTGCTTCATTTTACCCAAGATTCAATGTAAGAGATAAATAATTACATAATAATTATCTATCTTCTTCGAGTTTTACATATACCATTACATCTAAATATTGGAGTAACTAATATCTACTTTTATCAATGCAAATGAACTTTAATTTCGACTTACTCTTTATTACCTTTTAAATCTTAAAAACTAAAAAAAAAAGATAAAACAGTTAATTTATATTAATAGAACTGATATAAATAAAATAGATTTCATT